CGCCTGCCCGGCAACGTGGCCCAGAGGGGCGGGGTGTCCACGTGCCCACGGCCCAGCAGCTCCTGGGGGAGCTTTCCTGCCCCTCCCCTCCTCTGCTCCTTCCTGCATGGACTCTGCGTTCCTGCTCTGCTCTGGACGCCAGCACCGCCGCGCGCTTGCCTTTCCCCCTCTTGGCCTCCCGTTTCCTAGGATCCGCATCGGGGCGGCTCTGCCCCAGGAGCCTGGCAGGGGCGCAGGGCCTCTTCCGGCCTCTCTCCTCTCTCTCTCCATCCACTGTGCCCCTTGGGCCACGCCGATGAGCTCGGCGCAACATGCCGTGTGGTATCTGTGCCGCAGACGGGCCACTGCCCGCTCACTTCTGGACTTTGCTCTCCCCGATTGTCGTGCCCTATGCTCCTGGCCATTCCTCAGTCCCACCGTCCACCTCTCCTCACCCCTTCCCTTCTCTTACACCCCAGCCCCCTGGGCTGTGCGCCTCTCACGCCCTTGGTATTTCGTGTCCTTGCTCTTTTGTAAGGGGCGGTCCCGGCTCAGTGACCTGTGCTGCTCTGTATGGTGCCCTGTGTAAGAATAAACCCATTGGAATACTCGTGGTCTCAGTTCCTTCCCCGTCCCGCCGCCCCGGCCCTGCCCCTGCTAGGGCCTGTCCAGGCCCCGGCCCTGCCCCTGCTAGGGCCTGGCCAGGCCGAGGGAGGGCGGGCGGGCGGGCTGGGAATTCCAGGTGGGCAGCTGTCCCCCGCTGACCCTGGGCCCCTTTAACATTCCTCCTCTTTTCTCTTCCAGTCTCGGAAGGGTGCCGACTTGGACCGGGAGAAAAAGGCTGCCGAGTGCAAGGTGGACAGTATCGGGAGTGGCCGGGCCATCCCCATTAAACAGGTCAGCACCCCCTTCCCCTGGAGCCTGCGGAGCTGAGGCAAGGCCCAGGAAATGCTAGAGGATGGTTCTTTTCTAGGCCTCTGTGATGGGAGATGGTGTAAGAGGCGGGCACCCCCTCCTGTCAGGCCTGAGGTTCTACTAAGAAGGACTCACTCTGGTGGGAAGGGTAGCCAGAGCCGGTCTGCGGTCTGTTACTGCAGATCTGAGCCTGTGGCTGGAGCAGCCTGCTCTCCAGGCTTTGCCTGTACCTTCTCACCACCACCAGGGGGCAGCAGAGAGCCGCCTTCAGTTGCTCTCCTGCTGGTGGTTTTGGACCTGGGTCACCTGGAGGGGGCGACCTGCTGTCTCTGCCAGAGGGCTTGGTCTGGGCGCTCTGGCCCGGAAAAGGAAGAGGACTCACAAGAGTACCCTGAGCGTGCACTGAAGGGCGGACTGAGAGCTGTAGGTCCTCCAGGTCCCATGGCAAAGTCTTACCCATAGGAGCCTCTGTTCATTTGTAAGGAATAAACTTAGTTGAGGTGTCTCTCCCCAACTCCTTTCTGAGTCTGCCTGGCAGGGCTCCCAGGCCTCCTGTGTGGGTCCTTGTGCTGGGAAAAACTTGAGTGACGGGGGTCTTTGTGCAGAGATGGTGGTGGACTGGACAGGGCTCTAGAACTGCTGGCTGGACAAGGGTAGAGCCAGGAGGTGTCCCTCTGGGGCTTGGGCAGGAGCCTGTGCGCTGAGGTGCCCACGAGGATGGGGGCTGTGGCCTGGAGGTCAGTTTGCTGTACCCACAGGAGCTGGGCGAGGCAAAGACCTTCTTGGGAGCTGGTGGTTAGAGAGGTGGTGTCTACAGGGGCCGTGTTGTCAGGTTTTGACCTCAGAGCAGCAGAGCTCAGCGTGGCCAGGGCCCTGTGGCCCGGTCTGGCCCGCTAGGCTGGAGCTTCTGGGGTCCTTGGGCAGTGTGACAAGAATTCGTGGGAAGATGCATTTAGAATGGAGCCCAGGGTGTGGGTCAGGGTCCCAAGGGCAGGATGGGGACACTGCACATCCTGTTTCTCCCCTGAGATGTCACTGCGCTCCAGTCGGGTCTGCATGCGGGGAGGCCAGGTGAGAAGGCTGAGAGCAGTGGCAGCCGCCAGTCTCCTGTAGGTCCCCACAAACCCAGTGACTGCCACTGGGGCTCTGCAAACCGAGCACCTTGGGGGGCTCTTCTGGGCGACGTGACTGTGATCCCAGGACTCTTTCCCCGCCTGGTATGTGTACACATAAACCTTTAAGACGTGGTGAGGACGGGTCCTGGGCCCTCGCTGTGAGAAAATGGCAGCCCCAAGTCCTTCCTGTCTGGGGAAGAGTTGGACAGGGATGCAGGAGCTGCGGGGTGGGGGTGGGAGCCCTGTGGCCAGCACCTGGGCCTCTGGGCTGGGCCAGGCAGTCAGCTAGGTCACTGGCTGTTACAGGCCCATAAACCTCAGGGCCCCCAGGAGGACAGATACTCCGGGAAGGAGCCCAGCACAGGCCTGGGCCCGGGGCCCCATTGCCTGCTGGAGGCAGCAGGCACCTCAGACACGAGCGATCACCCAGGGCGTTTGGGGGAGCGCCTGCGGTTGGGGTGGAGGCTTCGCCCAGCCCGGGCCATTCCTTCCGCTCCCCGCCCCCTGCCCAGGGCCACCCTCCCGCCGCCCGCTCCTTCCCTCCCCCCTGCTCCTGCTGGGAGTGGAGATTGCATTTCAGTTGCCATTTGCATTCCCAATCAATCCGGACTCCGCAATTAAGCCGGCTGGCGGAGCTGGGAGGGAGGTGGCGGCGGAACGGGTCCTCTGGGGGCTGTCGCCTCAGCCCC